CAAATGTTGATCATAAATCCCAGTGACAGACACGGGAAGCAGAAACAATTTTGTGCCGATGGGTTGCGATCTGTCGATCCTTTTTGTACGTCTTGAGAAAAGGGGCAAAGATACAAATCCGTTACATCGTGGCCCTAAAAAAGGAAGCAGGAAAAAGTTGCAAAGGAATTATTGCACATGACATTCGCGCTGCATCTCCACCACCCTAAGAAAAACGAAAACGAAAACGAAAACGAACAAAAAAAACAGCATCCCAGCCCAAACGGAGACGATTTTCCCTTTTCATTTTCATTATTTTGTTTTCTTTTAGTTTTTTTTTATAGATCGTGAGAAAGTTGTTAACCCCTTTGCGAGGCCACATCCATAATTTATAATGATTAGTTACCGTTCGGAAGGAAGGGAAAGGTAACAGTTGCCGGGACAGAGCGCCTTCTTTTCCAGCGAAAAGAACAGAGAGGAGGGCAGATCCTTGAAGGATAACGGAGGCTGTAGACCGCGACAGAGGCGTCATCCCTCAGCGAGGGGTCCTTTGCTCTGCCTGTGGTCGGTCCTCCGCCAGCTGTGATAAAAAGTGCTCGAGCAGACAATGGCCCTAGCAGGCGCAATCCAATCCCCTAACGAGATGATTGATCCACAATCGGGCGAAAAGACGAACGAAAGAACGAACGGCTTTGGGCCTGCGAAAAAGATTGCGTGAAACTCTTGAGAGTTTCTAATATTGAAGGAAGGAAGTGCAAGCGGGTTCTGAAAGTATTTGGACAGTTCATAAGAAGATAAGATAACAAGATATTTCCAATATTCAAAGTATCGCACGGAGTTTGGAAACTTCCATTCAGGGCCAAGGGTGATCCGAGCCATCGAGGTGATCGGTCATTAACCTCTCCCTCGCCAATCAATTGGCTATTGGAATGACTGTGGATTGACCCCCAGGCCTGTAGTGACCCCCATTGTCCACTCTGCAACCAATAAGCGCCTCTAATTCGAGCCAATTCATTAATCAACCAATTAGTCAGCTCTAAGTAGTCGCTGCCAAAACACACACCATACAAAAGGGAAAGGAAAAGGGAGAGGCAGAGGGAGAGGGAGTCGAGTATTATACCATAAACGTATAAATATCAATTTGATATGTCAAATATTGACACATCAAACCCTAAACAAACCAATGACAGGCCGCATCCCCCCCGGCGTCGCTCATCTAGCCATTTAGCGGCAATTTATGAGCAACAAAACACCCAAAAAAAAAAGGACAAAAATTGGTGGAAAAAATAATAAATGAAAACACTGAAATGATGCTCTCGCTCTGTCTCACACAATCTCCCTCTCCCTCTCCCTCTCCCTCTGACAGACACAGAACCCGAGAACCGAGAACCCAGAATCCACGCACAGAAGCAGAAGAGAGGAACACCAAAAAAAAAAAAAGGGATTTTTCAGATAATTTCAAGGGTCCTTGACTCTTGGGCCCCGCAAATCGCAATGAGCCAATGAATGATGCTGTTGTTCCTGTTGCTCTGCCCATTCCACAACCAGCGGCAATTATGTGTATTATATAACATCATGTTGTGCAGTTTAATGTCAAAAACTTGCTTTTTTACACCAAAAATTGTGTGTGCGAAAGGTTAGGGGATGCTGGCCCCGTGGACCGGGAGGGTCCAGCCTCTCAATCCCAATCCTATCGCCTACTGGTTTGCAGGGTTCAAAGTGCGTGTGAATATGAGGATGTGTGTTTTTTTGCTTGTTGTGTATTTGTTGCTGTTTCTGTTGCACGGGATGCTGCGGTATTGTTAAGGTGTGAAGGGAGCGATTAATGCCACAACATTAGACTCTGAGGACAATTGAGTGAGGAGCCCGTGTAATGCGATAAGGCGCCAATCCCCGATTCCCAATTATCCCATTGTGATCGCTCTCTCTCACTCTCCATCTCTATCTCTCTGTGTGTGTCTTTCTGTCTATCGTTGGGGTCAAACGTGCAGGGCAAAAAAAAGGGGAAAATTAAGGAAATTACATTTGAGTTATCCTCTAGACAGGAGCAGCAGCAGCAGCAGCAGCAGCAGACGACAGAGCGCAGCCGGATCCGGATTCGGATTCGGATTCGGAGCAGGAAAATCAGCAATTAGTCAAGTGGTTAATGAGTTGAGCGAAATCGGATCGGATAAGGACACACGAAACAGCAGCAGAGACGAGAGCTGAGAGCGCGGAAGGATATGATGACTGTACGCACACCTCATGATGGATTTGGGATTTGGATTTGGGTTTGGGTTTGGGTTTTTCGGCTGCTGCGATTTTTCCCCCTTCTGCTGAGGATGCTGCTGTGCATTTTCCGGCACATTTGCGAAACTGCAATTGCAATTTGAAATTGGTTTTAGGTGTGGGGTGTGGGGTGTGTGGGGTGTGGGGTGTATGTGTGCTTCTGGGTCGTGCAAAATGGATGAAAAAAGGGTTAAGGGGCTTAGAGGGTTGTCCCGGAGCGCAGTATGTCAGGCAGGCAGGCAGGCAGGCAGGACAATGACAACTGACAAAAAAACAAAACGCGAAAAATTTAAAAATGGCACAACAGGCAAATTTCTCTGATTTGGTTTTTTTTTGCTTTTTTGTATTTTTTGCACAAGGGTTGAAATGGAAATTTAATTTTTTTGAAAAATATTTTCAAATACACAAACTCAACGATTCCAATGTGGCATACACTGAGAGAAATGAATTAAGATATTAGAGGAAAATAAAAGAAAACTTAGAAATAAAACCATTGTAACTATTTTTTCATGATTTTTATTTCTGCTATTTATTTATGGAACTAAGAAATTGAAATATATGTATAGAAGGAGGTCATTAGTGGTAAGAATTTGAGGGGACTAGGTAAATGCATTAAAAGTGCATTAAAATCAATGAAATATTAATCAAATCAATGCCTTCTGATGGTGAAAATCTGCAACTTTCAGCTAAGCTGCAGCCCGTATGGTGACCTTTCTCAGGCATTTTGTTGCTGCCGCTCATAATCAATTTCCCCCAAAAACGAACATCATGCGATGCCGTTTCAGATAGCAACTGTCCACAAAAGCCAGAAATATTTCAATGAGGATGAGGATGAGGATGAGGACGAGGACGTGGAGTATCGATTGCCGATGATGGCCAGGTGTTGCCGTTGCCATTTGGATAAATTTCGATTTCGATTTTGGTTTCGGCTTAAACCGAGCGGCAAACACACACACACACACATACAGCATGTATATTGGCCCATGGATCACCTTCACCCCCTGGCGCCTACCCTACCCTTCCCAAGTCCAAAGTCCAAAGTCCCAAGTCCCTTTCCCATCCCCAAGCACAAGGCAACCCCTTAATACCCATATTGTATCTACATACATTTGCATGGCCTCATTTCTTTTCATCCATAATTTTGAAATTGCGAGCAAATTTTCCCCCCCGCTCGCACTCTCCGCTTGATGTTTGCTTCGTGGCATAGTTTTTCCACACACACACACACACACACACACACACACACAGGGAAAAGGATTATTTATTTATTACGAAATTTTCGTCATTCGATGCGCGGCTGTGGCGCGTGGAAAGGTGGAAATCAAAGGTGGAAGCGGGACTCGGGGACTAGGCCAAGGGGACTCGACGGCCCGCCGCAAATGTCGAATTATTCAAATGATGATTCCAACCCCTCGCGCACCGCGCACCACCGCACCCCAACCCTCTCTCTCTCTCTCTCTCTCTCTCTCTTTCTCTCTCTGAGATATGCAAAAAATGTTTAAAAAAGGAGCAGAGGCAGAAGAATGAAATGCTCGTACGCACGCACACGGGACAGGACACGGGCACATACAGGAGGACATAGGAGATACTATAAGGACCAGGCGCGTCGCGTTGATTTTTGTGTGCACTTTTTTGTCTACCTTGCGGCAATCTGTTGGCACACACACACGCACACACACACACACACACACACAGACAGACACAGAGGCAGAGGCACGCACGTGGTGTAGTGGAAATGGCCCTCATGTTCCTGCCACACGGCTGCTGTTGTTGCTGTTTCCTTTGTAGTTTGCATGTCCCGTTTCGTCATATGAGATCGCGAACGTTTACAAATTTTTCATTTATTCAAAAAACAAGCAGGGAAGCCAGCAGCAACTTTAGCCACAACGAAGGATCACATACACTGAAATTGTATATTTATATATAAGAATGGGCAGTGGAGTGCCTCCCTGTGTTGCTAAGACTTTTAAAGATGATACCAAATAAACAATGGTACGTCTTAGATGGGTAAATATGCAGATAGATATGGCAATGAAACACTTTTATATAAAGCTAATGGGAAACTATTAAGAAATTGGCGCTTGAGTGCTGAGTTTTTGTTAACTCCGCTAAGAGAACTTACCCTAAATCCTACTCACATTAACATTTCATATGCCCAAAGCCTTACGCTAGCGAATATGCCTCCAAGCAGAATTCTCACCTACAAATGGACAGATAGGATAGCGACGAACAGGACTCGCTTGGTCGGCTCATTCATCTGTATGTGTGTGTGTGTGTGTGTGTGTTTAATATGAAAAAGTCGCTTTTGAAGACATCTGCGTATTTTTCCCTATCCAATATGTGTACTTCGGACTCCCCCTGTACCCCCTATGCGGGCATGGGACACTCCAGTCAGTGTCGCCAACCACAAATTCATTTAATTTGCACCTTGTTGGTTGCACCATTTTTATTTGTTTTCATTTGATTTGTGCTCTCTTTTTTATACAGCTGGCAACATCTGTTCTTTGGCGATCTTGATTCATTGATGAGTCGCCCAAGGTAGGGGCTACGGCGGGGTATTATTATGCTGGTTGGTTGGTGGAAGAAACTGAAGCTAAAGGGTTTACCTAACTGGTAATTAGGATGTGAAGAACGAGCCACACTTGTGCACCAATTGCATACATTTAATTCCATAAATAATTTCCAGCCTTTCCAGTAAAAGTTTATCTTGATTTTCTATCGATCAAGCACTCTGTCAATCTTTAGTCGCAATACTTTACGGAGTATTCAGTTCAACAAGTCAAGGCTTGAATAAGTTTGGAATAAATTCGGAATTGTATTGTTGTTGTCAGCAGATGTGTTAAGTCCTTTGCAGCACCATTTGCAGAACGAGATGGAGATGGAGCTGGATCACCTGGATGACCTGAAGGTGTTGCGCGAGCAGCGCCTCCATGAAATGAAGGAGTTGAACAACAAGAAGCAAGAGTGGCTCAAATGTGTGAGTAGTGCGGCAGTGACAGGGGGTTACCGATAGCGATGGAGCCAAATCTTTTCGCAGGGTCACGGCACCTACACGGAGCTGGCTGGCGAGAAAGAGTTCTTTGAGACGTCCAAGAAGTCAAACAATATCGTGATCCACTTCTATTGCGACGGCAACGAGCGCTGCCGCATTGTAGACATGCACCTGATGATATTGGCCTCGAAGCACGTGGAGACCAAGTTCTGCAAGTTGAACGCCGACAAGTCGCCCTTCCTGACTTCCCGTCTGCGTATCGTGGTAATGCCCACCATTGCCCTGGTGAAGGACAGCAAGGTAGAGGGCTTTATTGTGGGCTTTACCAATCTGGGCAACTGTGATGATTTCTCCACTGAGATGCTCGAGTGGCGCATCGGCCAATCTGGGGCCATTGACTACAACGGCGATCTGATGCAGCCGCCAGAAGGAAAACGCAAGCCATGCCAGATTGACTGATGACTGATTGAAGTCATCCAAGAAGCTTAGAGGCTCCCAGCAACCAACACACACAAAAAGACACAAACTCAAAGTTACAAACGAAACGCACACAAATCAGCAGCAACTAGAACAGGTATCTAATCCAATCAGTCATCATTTGAACAGTCATTTATTTATGGGGCAGAGCCACTAACTCCAGCACTCCCAACTCCGCACATTCCCACAAATTGTAAATGGCTAATTCAGATAAATGCACAATTTACGCATAATTTGCCACTTTTTGGCGCAATTTCAACATGTTTTATGCTAGTCATTTGCACTCAGCATAGAGTGGGCGCAGCACGCTTTGAAATTGTTCATGGAAAATAATAATGAAAACCTAAAAAAAGAGAGGAAATTCAGGGGAAATATCAAAGAAAATTGTCTGATAAATTGATTTATGAGAAGCACAATTCCAGTAATTATTATGTGCACTTATTTTTGTTTTATTTAACTCTCTTTCTACTTCGAATATAACTACATATATTCGTGTCTCTAAAATATTCTATAAATATAATATAATGTTCCTCTTATCACAGTCAGAACCTCGTTCCTCCCCTTGATTACCCTCCTCACACTCTCCACAATAAACCCAAAATCGAATCAAAATCAAATTTGAGTAAAAGTCACCAAATAGACACACTCAAACCCCACACGCACACTCCTTTGTCAAATAGGAAAAGTATCCCCAACTGGACCCAAGCCCTGCTCCCGCCCCTCCCCCCACACACACACACATCTCCCAAGCAGAACAAAAATTATAGAAAAAGTTTGCATAAATGTCCACAAACATGTGGCCCAGTCCCAAGTTTCGGTCTCAGTTCCAGTTGCCTCCATTTTAGAGATGTCTCCCTACCCTCTGCGAACCCCAGCAACTCTTTTATTTTCTTTGCCGCCTTTGTGGGGGTGCGAAGGGTGGGGCTACAGCTGCCTCCTTTATATACTTTCTTCTGCCTCCACTCATTGGCATCGTTGGCGACTTTATAAAAATGTTTGCCCTTTCGGTTTGTTTGTTTGCCTACGCGGCGATTTGTTTTTCTCTGTCCGTCCGTCCGTCCGTCCGTCCGTCCGTCTGTCTGTTTGTTTGTTTGTCTGTTTGTTTGTTTGCTCGACTGCGTTTTGTGTCGTAAATTTAATGGGTAACAGCAACAACAAAGGAGAGATATCGAAAAGGAATCGAAACGAATTGAATGGCAAACGGGAGCCATGCATAAAAAATTGCCAAAGCCAAGCCAAAGTATGAGGCACACATGGTCGTTGTCGTGAACGTGGACTGGCAGCCAAGGGTTAACTTCGATTAGCCCAAAATGTTGTCATGGCCTGTGGTCGCACATATGTGCCACCCCACCCGGACGGGGGAGTGGCACTGTGGCATAGGGGGGCGACCATTTGGGGAGGCGGGCAGTGGTGAGAGTCATGGTCTGGTCTCCATGTGCGAGTGTGGTCATAAGGCCAAAGCACAAATAATAACAGTCACGCGTCGTTGTGCCACCCACCAACCAGCACCCACTCCCTAGGCAAAAAGTAGCAGACGCAGCAAAAATAAATATTAAAATATAAAATAATAAAAAAGAAAACATGAAAAATAAAGCCAAGAAGAAGTTGCTACTAAATGGAAGACCATCATGGGATGCGACTAGATGGATGCTCTATAGAATTTACACAAAAGGCACAAGGCTGAATTCAATTAAGATTTCAATGAGCTAAATTAATTTCGGATATTTGATATTTATATTTTCCAAAACCTATCCTAAAATATTTGATTAAATTTTCATAAAACCAATTGGCATAGTAAAATCTTCACAAAATTCTTGTTAATTTACTTGATTTGTCGGGCATAAAAGTAGTAGTGAAAAAAGCGAAGAAAATTATACAATAAATACGCTTTTGTGTACTTTTATTTATTTATTAAAATAAATACAAGACAAATGCCTCAGTCGAAGTGCCACAGCGAGCAGCATGGCCAGCAGGGCCCACTGAAGGAGTGAAAGGACAAACCCGGGACCCAATGCCGATGCCGATGTCGATACCGAAACCAAGAACCCGAAACCGAAAAAAGTCCAATGGATACCCCATGCGAATCCTCGAATGATTGTAGTCCTCCAAGTCGCTTTTGGGTTGGCGGACAGCGTCCCCCAAAAATAGGGCCATTGATCAAAATTGTTACAATAATGGCGAAAAATCCACCCCGCATATGCGGCGAGAACAGAACAGAACATACTACACACCCAACCACCCACCCATCCCCTTTCACGGACACACACATACAGTCAAAGAGAAGAGGGTGAGGTGACTGGGAGGACAGTCCACCGTTCACTGTCGACCGTCGGTCGTCTTTCCATTTACTCCACCCCCTCCCGCCTATCCACACACTGTTTTTCCATGCCTTTCATTTCGCATCTACCCTGGAACCAGCATAGTGAATAAGTGTATATGGGTTCATGGGTTCCAAAGGTAATCAGTTGGAAGTATTATAATATTTATATGCAGATATGCAGAAAAAAAAATCACAACTAATCACAATTGAACGATTATACACAAGAAAATGAAACTAACTACGCGAATGTATGTTTTTATTAGTGGTTGAAGAAGAGAAAACGAGTTAGCTGTGGATATTATATGGTGTACAAAATTTAAATCCATCTAAATGATAGTATTTCCATGTAATATCCAGTCAAATTAGAGTCAAACTTTCCTTAAATGCCTAAAATGAATGCTGATAGCTATAAGAATTTATAATTTTAGTAAGCAGTATCCCTTGGTCGTTACAGCATGCACAGCATTTGCCCACTTGTTTCATTTCGTTGCATGGCAGAAAGCGCCAGCAAAAGGAAAGCAAATATCGCCATTGCTGTCCGACATGGCAACGGAACGGACAACAGGACAAGGAGAGGACACGGGCAGGGACACGGACACAGAGCTGGTCGAGCAGTGGCTGGCTGGAGTGGTGGCAGTGGGTGGAATGGGAATGGGCTGGGCTGGGCTGGGCAGGCCCTCGTCTACCATTGAAAGCCTTTTTTGATGGCGGCTGCTGCTGATGCTGCCAGCGTTTGTGGCGGTGGTGGTGGGTTGGCGGGTTGGTGGGGGTTGGTCGAGCAAGGTAGCAGGCGGTTCGTTGCTAACGGTTGAGCCTCTGCACGGAATGTCCAAAAGGACCCGCCGCTGCCGACGCTACATGTGTGTGCCACAGCATCGTAATGGCCACAGTTGTTGTTATGGCCAAAGTTCGTACGTGAGGGTCGAGCAGAGTCGTCGTCGAGTCGCGGACGCGGACGCGAATGACGAGGGGTGTGGTGGGTAACTGGGTGGATGGTTGGGCACGTTGGAGCACACACACACATGTAGAGAGAGGGGTATTGTGGGGTATGGCGGGGGACCAACATCTATTCGCATTTTGGTCCTTTTTGGTGGCCGTTAGCTGGTCCCGGGGTCGTTTGTACATATTGCATCAAAGAAAAGTTTTCTACTGTTGGAAAAATAAAGCAAGAAAACTACCGCGGACACACACACACACACATACAACACACACATGCCATACACTCACACATGGACCACACGCAGTCGCAATGCAAATAGCAACAAAATACAAAAAAAAAAAAAAAGAAAGTTAAAAGTGGTCTTCGAAACGGACAGGACAACGCCAAAGGATATGCCCAGATACATTTACATACTTACATATGTATTTACCTACATACATAAATATGTACATAAATATTCTTGGGGTATCCATGCAAATAAGTCTGCAGCCCTCCGCCTCCCAACCACAACAGCAAAAACCCCAAATTCGTTTTGGCGTTTGTCAAGTCAGGACTCGGAAATTGGCTGCCATTTCGATCTACCCCAGCCGCCAAATGCCCAGTCTCCTGGCCAATCCCATCCAAATAAATATAAACCAAATGAAAGCGCAAAGAATTGAATCTAAATCGAAGCTCTGACCAGAGATGATCCCATCGGAGGATTACGATCAGAACTTCAGCCGCTTGCAGATTTAGGCAAAAAATCTCAAAAGGGTTCGCAACTATGATATCAAGAGCTGTCCCAAAGATACTCAAAAACATTAATTGAATGATGTCAAATGACGTCTGCTTGCCATAGAAATATTCGCATAAGAGAGCGGACATTTACTGACATTCCTTCAACATATTCGTTGAAGCCCCCAGCCTCGCATTTGCTCCAAACCGCAACCCCAACTGTTTCCTCCTGCTCGGCTTCAGCCACAGCCACAGCCACAGCCTCCGCCTACTACTTCTCCTTCTCCTCCTGTTGTTTCTTCTCTAAGGACGCAATCAGAGCTCGAACCAGTCCAGAGCAGGCGGCCACATCAGGACCAGAGACCAGAGACCAGTCACCAGGCCAGGGCTGATCTCTGGGACAAAATATTAGTTCTGTCGAAAATAAATTTCTTTGAGTAATGTAATCCCATTTTGTGGTCTTCACCCACTGAGCGGGAGGACAGGCATGGGGCACACAAGAAGTGGTGCCCTGTGGGGGGAGTTGGACTCATTTTTTTTCTCCCACATTCCGCCCCTCAGACCACCCTCTTGGTCACATATCTCATCAGGCAGAATATGAACGCGATAAATCTGTTCGTGATTTTTTTTTTCTTTTTCTGTTCTGTCTTTTGCCACACTTACACACACATGTGGGTGGTGGTTTGGGTAGATGGGTGTGCTGGGGTGGGGTGGGGTGTGTTGTTTGAGAGGTGTCCAACTCGGTTTGTGGTGTGTGAAAAAAAAATGGCAACGGAATTCGCTAATCCCAAGGACCAGGCCAGGCCTCAGATTGAGCTTCAGCTGTCCTTTATTACACTATTTCCTAGGCTCAGGCCACAAGATGGATATACATTTACATACATACTTACGTACATATGTACATATGTTTGCAGTAGAGGAAGTGGCTGCTGGGGGGAAGGTTGAGGCTTGTGTGGAATGGCAATCGGCAGAAGGAGAGAAGTGGCAGTGGCAGTGGCAGTGGCAGTGGCAAAAGCCAGCGAAGTACGAAGTCGATTACTGACACATGTATTGTCGTTTCACGCACATGAGAAGACGTGACCAGGTGGGTGGATTTCCCAGTCAGCCACCCACACCCACACCCACAAACCCCTACCACTACCGCTACCCCTCTGTGTGTGTGACTCGGTCGCTGGATGATGACAATGTCTCCTGACAGCTTTTTGCGGCCGCCTGTGATTGCCAAAAATGAACCATGATGACGGGAAAAAAGAAATTGCCAAAACAACAACAAAATGAAACACGAAAAGCCGAAGCTTTTGATACCCTGACAGATGCATAAACTTCGAATTATCGAATCATCGAATCTATATTCTAAACTCAATGCAATTTTCCATAAATTCAATAATAAATATGTGATCTATGGTGCGCGATTTAGGACCAATTCAGTAGATTTCCAGAAATCAATGATCTTCAGATATGTACGATTGTCTTACGCCTCACAATCAAGTGACACAAAACTCTACAACAGAGCTAGAAGATACTTGCCGAAGTACTATTATATACTAGACGAATCTTCCTAGAACCTAAAAACAAACAAAATCATCGTTGAGTAAATGCTTTAACGATATAAAAAGAACAGCAATAAATTGATGTACAACAGTAACTTCAGCTTAATACCCTCTGGAAGGGTATACACCAAGAAAAAAATACATGTCTAAAAAAATGAAACCCCTGAAATGTAATACACTGAAAGACACACACACGCACGCACGCACCACGAGGCCGCAGGAGTTGTTATTCGCGGGGCAGGACATTGATGAGGCCAAATTTCTGTGATTCGTCATCTAAATAGGTTTTTGCCGGAGCACTCACCCACACAAACACACACACATGCACACACGGGTGTAAAATTACCAAACATTACACACACACAAACGTCAAGGAGGGGGGGGGTGGAAATATCTCGGCCATTGGCAAGCTAATGGCCAGGAAAATGCCATGCAGCTGGTGCAGATTTCACATATGCAAAGGAAGAACAAAAAAATATTTCACGTTCCATTGCTCGCTGCCTTGGCCACTCGCCGCTAGGTGGCCAGTAAGAGGTAACAGACTGGAACGTATTCAATTCCAATTAGAATGTTATGAAAGTCGCCGCTAGGTGGCAATATCGTATACTAAACCAATTAAAAAAACCAGCCCTGAGGCGATTTGAAGAGCTCTTCCCAAAACGATAGTTTCCTGTGAAAGTTCCAGAGTTTTTTCATATTATATGAACATACGTCTGTGGTAAAAACAATAAATAAATATACATCCCAGTCCATTATTTTCCTGTTTTGCACACTAACTCGCTCGCTATTTATTCAATTACAAACGGCATAAGGTCTGGCATTTTTGTTTAGGTTTAATTTATAATTTTTGTACAGCTGCGAATTAGCTTTAAATTAACCAAAAAATAATGGTTGGGCCACAGTCTGTATTTTTTGTTATGGCATGTTTATGATTCTTGATCGGATGTAATTTCAATGTACATCAAACTCGTCTTCTTCTTCTTCAGATTCATCACCTTCTTCTTCAGGTTCGTCACCTTCTTCATCATCCTTATCGTCATTTTCACCAGCAAAGTAGACCACCGACTTTGGTATAAATTTGGTGTGCAAAAAGTTTCCAATTTTAAAATCCTTAATCAGTGTACGCCGAGCACTTCGAGACTTTGCTCTAATATTTGGATGCTCTTCCTTGACTAAGCGCACTGTGCCACGCTTCATGCGCTTCTTCCTCTCGATGGTCGAAGCGCTTCGTAAGGACAGTGTTCAGAAAGAATTGGTTCTCATCGAAATGGAACTTTAGTGTGAATGAGACGTCATCTGTCAGCTTGTGGAGTGCTGCTTGGTCGTGTGGTTCTACCCATTGCGACAGCATGGAGCTATTACCGAAAGCAATCAGCCAGAATCTAGGTATGCCATTCGGGCAGCTCTCGTCATTTACTTTACGTCCCTTTGCCGCTTGCCAGTTTCGCATCTCCCCAGCGTGGTCCACTGTCCCGCTGACGATTTGCTTGAGTTTTTTCCAATAGAGAGAGGGCGACGATTCAGCTCGTAATTCTTCTCCAACTCGAGTATAACCTGGTAATACTCCTCCACCATTTGAAAGCTTTCCGACTGCAAATCTTTCAGCACAGAAATTTGTTTCAGAACGGGAGCTGACAGCGCTTGAACAGTATACCACAAATGCTGCTTTTGGTTGTCTGATGTTTGACTTGGAACGATTTAACTCGACTGACGTGTTTTCCACTAGAAACTTTGAAGTCATAAAATATGTGAAAATCTGAAACCATTTGGCCTTCAATATGATACAATTTCGATATTTTTGTATTACTGCAACCCCGAAATACAACTCTGCAATGTTATATAACAGGAAAGTGCCCTGGACGCTGGAAACTATATTCAAATATTCCTTTGTTAGATGCACAAACATAGAAAGCTCCGAAGAGAACATTGAAGAACATTGTAAGTGTTAGACTTTATTTAGGACCTATTATAAACAATTAATTAAATGTTCCATAATTTCTTGGTGGTAGTCAAGGCGGAGAGAAACAAACAAAAAATAATAATGGGAAAGCGGAATAAGTGATTTGTTCTTCTTCATTTTTTGTGTGTATAAATGCACTGTAATGTGTATTGTAGTTTGAATTGCGCTCAACTGGGCTCCAATAGGGCACCGGCCAGCCATCAAAACGAATAACGAATACGATGCGAATGTTGCATAACATCTAGGTTGTATTTCTTGTAAATAATAATCTTCCATGTGTGTTATCTTCCACCGCTGCTGATGTTGGAGCTCCTGCTGCAGACTACAAGCGAATCGGGTTGAATTCAGATTTGGATATGGGTTTGGGTTCGGATTTTGGTTTTTTGTTGGAAGTATAATTATGCGTGGGGCAACGATGACTACTACGATAAGTGCAATGAGGAGAATATGTGGTGGTGGTGTTGCCAGTGGCAATCAGGTGAGCTTTGATCGCTTCTTGGCAATCGCATCCTCAACGGCACGCAGCTGCTTGAGCAACTCCTCTCTTCTTGAATGCTTGCCGCCGCCATCCTTATCCGTGTCTTTGTCCTTATCCTTATCCTTTTCCTTGATCTTATCCTTGATGGGGGAATGACCACGCTTGTTGTCCGTTTCGCCTGAGGGAATTGGTGATAACAGCGCAGACACACCCACCATTGTCGATGGCTTCTTAATCTCAATGGAAATCGGCGAACGCTTTTTGGTCGCTTGTTCAGCGGCTAAACAAATTGAATAAAACATGATGTAAATTCTTCACTTTTCTCTGAGTAACTTTGAACTTACGCTTTTTAATTAATTTACGCTCATTGAGCGCCTTGTCTGTGGCCCGTACACGCTTCTGCGGCGACTCCAACGATGTGGTTGACGATGAAGACCCCGATTCTGAATCTGAATACGAGGTATCCGAGGAATCTTTGACCAAATCAGAACGGAAACTTAATTAAATCCATCGATTGTAGCTATTGCCATGACTAATACCTGATTCCGATGATGTGGAGCTGCGACCCCGTCTCCTCTTGTCGAACTTCTTGGGCGAAGGCGATGTTACCTTTTTCCGCTTTGAGACGGGACTGATACGCTTTTCCAGGCCAGCTCCTCTCTTGTAGGACGGTGAGGGGCTTGCCTCTGTGGATGGGCACAATAGAAACAAAATTTAGCACAACATTTTCCCCAGGCATGCCCAGCCCAATGCATATTGACGACTTACTGGTCGAGTTTCGACGTCGACGGGGTATCTGGCTGGGCGAACGCACCGCTCGTCCTGCTGTCGGACGTCTGGCAGAGGCAGGCACCTTGTGCGAGCCACCACCGCCACCGCCGTAGCCCCCAGCGCCGCCACCTCCGCCGCCGCGTCGCTTGTGGTCCGAGGCACTGCTGGAACGAGACGAGTCCGAGCTGGAGTCGCTCTGAGAACTGTTTGAACTGGAATATGATGTGTTGGATGTGTAGCTCCTGCGGTCTCGTCTGCGACGATCGTCCCGATCGTATGAGCCACGTCCCATCGATTTGGATCTCATCCAGGGATCGCTCCACTCATCGCCCCTGCCACCCGCAGACTCCACACGCTGTACGATCACCTCGCGTGCGGGACGCAGACGACGATCGTCCTCATAGTGTGGCATACGATGTGGCGGCAGCTCCCGATATCTGGTCATTCTGCCATACGCATCGACATCCTCGTACGGCATCGGCATATACTGTGCCCGGCCGTAACGCTCCGGCGCCGGTGGACCGTACATTGGGTACTGCAAGGGGAAGAGAGCGCGGGAATTAGCATGACTGCCGGTAGATGATGCTGGTAGATGCATGGGTAGTGGTAGTGCAAGTTGCTGCTCACGCACCGGTGCTGGTGTCGGTGAGCTGAGCCCGGACGGGCTGCTGTTGTTTCCCCGTTCCTTGAGGTAGTACGGATCCTTCTCAAGCTCGTCAGGCGAGAGGGTTAGGTTCATTTTCTTGTCCTCAAAGTCCATGTCCTGCTCCTTCCGCTTGTTCGCCTTCCGCATCATCTCCTTGGCCGTGCGCAGTCCCCGCTCCCAGGCATTCTCCACCACAACGGGTCCCTCTGGCAGCAGAACGGGCCTGGCCTCATGATGATTTGCATACATGCTCGGCGCATGATGCACCGGTGGCGGTCGATGATGCAGCGGCGGCCTCTCATTCCGATAGTCGTGATAGTCCGCAGGCGCTGAAGCATGTGGGGCATACGCACTGACGGGTCTCGGGGCAGAACCACCACTGCCACTGCCACCGCCGCCGCCGCCGGCGCCAGAACCAGCACCGCCACCACCTCCACCACCGCCAGCGCCGCCACCTCCACCTCCACCGCTGCCGCCCTGCAAGGGCACAGATCGAACGAGACCCTCGAACATTGTGTAATTTCCCTTGTCGGTGACACCGGGATGCAGGAAGCGGCAACTCATTCCCCAGGTGCACTGTCCGCGCGTGTAAAATCTACAAATGGGCTTCGGTTCGGTTTCCTCGGGGCGCTTCTCGTCCTCATCGGACACCTCGCCCTCCTCCAGCTCCTCCTCGTCCTTTTTCTTTTTGGCAGCGGCGGCGGCAATCTCTGCGGCACTCTCCACCTCCAGTGTGCCATTTTTATCGTCATCGCCAACAATGCCACCCTCTTTGGCCTCCTTTTCGCCAGCATCCACTTCGCCATCGTCATCGTCCGAGTGCCTATTGGATGTGGGTGACAATGAGTTTCTCTTTCCCTTTGATGTTGCGTTTGTTTGATTGGCTTTTGCATCGGCATTGTCCTGATCCTGATCCTGGTCCCCATCCCTGGCTATTTCTGGACACTCGCCCTCCTCCGCCTCAAAGTCGAGAGCATCATCGTCGTGTGTCTTGACAAGATCCTCCTCCTGCAGCCTGGCCGTTGTCGGCACATCCCTGCCCTTAGTGCTGTCCTCAGTCTGTAGAAATAAACGAAACGAAAAGATTAGAACAGGGGAAGAAGACAACAGAGAGGGACGTTCAACTTACATTTGATTCTGTGGGTGAGTCGCCGCCTCTTCTCTCCAGCGGACTGTTTTTCCGTGGAGCCTTGCCGTTAAGCTTTCCATCGTCAGTGGCAGCAGCAGTAGCGGCATCGGCATCATCGGCATCCTCATCATCATCGCCCAGACCTGGCAGTGTGTCATTGGAAATGTCCCCATCATCATCATCTACATCGTTATGAAGTGAGTTCTTCGACGACGCCCGCTTCTCGTCTGTGTCAATTTCACTCACATCACTCAAATCCTCGTGGCTGATGTTGAGATCAACAGCCGCCTGATTGTACAACTGTGGGCTATTGCTGCGACTTCTCACGGAGGAGAGCAGCGAGTTTTGTGGTGATTTGGTGGCGGCATTTGGAGAGCCGACACTGCCCCCAGCCGTCGGTGGCACTGAGTCGGGCCTCGAGTCGGTGGTCTCGGTCTCCTCTCGGTCACGCGGTAGCTCGTTCACAGCACGATCTGGTTGTTGTTCTGGTTCTGGGTCCGCTTCGTCCTCGCTGCCGGAACTGCTGCTGCTGCTGCTATCACTGACGCTGCCCGAGCTGCTGCTCGAGCTCTTGTTCTGCAACTTGGACCTTTGGCTGCGGTTCGAGCTGGAGCTTGAGTTCGATGAGGAGCTGCTCGTGGAGTCCGCACGTCGGGATCTGTTCATTGCAGCAGCGGCGGCAGAAGCAGCATCGTTGGATGTCGTTTCAGCCGCATGGCTAGATGCGTCCTCGTCCGCACCAACACCCGTGTCCTTTATGGGTGAGTTCGAGCGTGACTCGCTTGAGATGGACGGGTTCGAGCTGGCGCGAGAGTCATCCGACTCCATGGTGTGCATGGGCTAGCCTTATCCCTTGTGGGGCAGCAGCAACTCCGTTCGCTTTGTTCCTGGAGGTGCAGAGATAAGAGAGGGCTTAATGGAAGTCTGTCCACAATTTATCTCTATTTATATGATGGGTAAATCTTAATCGACAAGTCAATAGGCCAATCGTCGGACTTTCGGCCGACGCGCATAAAGTGGAGCATGATGGAAGGGTATGATGGTCAGCGAGCCATCGGAATCGAATATTTTGTTGGTTGGTTGAACGGAAGGAAGGCTTTTAAGCTGGAACAAAACAGACAATAATCCCCTAGGGATGCGATACGAGAAAGATATCGGGGCGGCGAAAGCGGAACCAAGGACAAGGCCAAGGTCAGGGTCACCACCTGCAGCAATCATTGCACCCAACAAATATCTATTACTTAATGAATATCGATTCCCAACAATGTGCTTGGTGGATCGTTGCTGTTGAATGTTTAATGGTGGTGGTGGTGATGGTGGTGGTGGTGGGTGTTTTGGGGGCACAGAGGGGCTTAAGAGTTTTTTGCAATAGTTTTGTTTTGAGTTTTACGTTTTGTGTTGAATTCTTACCTTCATTTCGCTTTTAATTTGGTTTATGTTTATATTTTCTTTCATTTTCATTTCGATATTAATTTCTTTACGTGTATGTGTGTGCTGTGTGCCGCTTCTTTCGTTTGTTCTTCGTTTTTCTCGAGACTTTTCGCGAACGTGAGATACGAAACATTGGGAGATATGCAAGTGAGGGAGAGAGCAAGGG